CATAAGTTAATTCATAAAAATTTTCTTAACTTTTTAAAAATTTTAATTTTAACTTATGCATAAGTCAATTTTAATTTATAAAAATATTTATTTCATTTTTTTTAGTTTTTTTCTCTCTCTCTTTTAAGTGCTTTATGAAAAAGTTTGTGGAAGCAACCCCTAACTTTGATATTGATACACAAAGTATGAGACCAACATTGCCTTCTCCATAGCAATCTAAGGAGAAACCTCACTTATACAAATCCATGTCCAAGAGCAAATCACCCCAATCCCATTGGCTGCTACTACCCTCCCCATTCATCATTGCTTCAAATCCTTCTAACTGAAAATCCATTGACAACTCACTAATAATGCTGCCCTGTTGGTCCAAGCATGCATATATGTTATCTTGTTGTGATTGAAGCATGTGGTTATGCCCTTCTAGATCAAATGTTAGTGAGGACATGCTACTCTCTTGTTGAACTCCTTTCTCGGATGGAGACTGTCCCTGGTCCCTTCTTTTCCCTGAGCCTGAACCAATGTTTCTAGGTTGTGGCCTAATGACTTGGGCATCTCTGGCTAATTGTGTATCTTCAGCTTCGAGAACATTTAGTTTTTTACTCAGATGACAGTTCCAATAGTTTTTCACATCATTGGCAGTCCTTCCTGGTAGCCTTCCTGCAATCAATGACCACCTGAAAAGAAAGTAGCACATGCCTTAAACTTTTATCTTTCATGTCCTTTTTATGATGATTAATATGTTACATTCTTTTATTACTTTATGATTACCTATAAAAACCATAAAACATGGGTATATTAAGATATATTCTACAAAGCATATAATGTTATCATTAAAGTTTAAAGAAGAGTTCAACATCAAAGATTTTGGAGTGTTTGTAATGACTATATTGATCGTATTTGTCTATAATTTTCTACAATATCAAAGAACGAGAAAAATCTGTGACTGTGAATACAATTTAAAATCTGAGCTATTGTTGATATCCCACTCCTAGTTAGTGACTAACACACAATGAAAAATACCAAAAGAAAGACTACATCATCTAAGTTAACCTGTTGCCTAATAATTTGTGGAGTTTGATTATCATCTCCACTTCTTCCTCCGCAAAATTTCCTCTCTTGATGTTAGGACGAAGATAGTTCAGCCATCTTAGCCTACAACTCTTTCGGCACCTGTTTAAACCTTCAACCCACCAATATTAAGATTCAGTCAGTGGAAAAAGAATTGTAAATAGGAGTATTATGTTTTTGGAAATTTCACTGATCACTATGTTTCTGTGTCAAACTCAAAAACAAATAATCACAATCAATTACTCTTCAAATTCAAAAATTAATGAGTTGTTCCTAAGTCTTACTCTATAAATTTTGTTATTCTTGTGGATAATGATTCTTCTCCATGATTGCATTGGTTTGATACATAAATCTCACAAGTCATAACCAATTACCAATCTTGAACAAACCATTTCACTGTTAATAAATTATCACCTTTTAACTTACCATTGAAGTGTAGAGCATTTCTTTTGCTTACAACTGACACAGTAAGAAGAAGAAGAAAAAAAAAAAGAAAAAGGGATTGAATTGAATTCAGTTTACCAGCCAGTAAAGGAACACGATGCCACTTTCCTTCTCCATATTGTTGTATGCATTTCTTGAGCAAGTGATCTTCTTCTTCTGTCCATGCAACACCACCCATCTCTTCTCAAACTCTAAGACCACTACCTCACTCTCTCAAATCCACTAGCAACTTCTTTTATATATATGTATGTGCACATACACACTTTGTATCCCGACGTACGATGTACCAAACAAGCCAGCAAGGCAATAGCAATATGCAATTTTGTGCCTCAAAATCATAGTAAATGGTCCAGGGCTCTTTCTGAAACTCTGAAGCCAAGCTCTATGTTTTTATATAGACATCATAAGTATATGATGGTGGTCCTGATCTTTGAAAAATCAAAACCTGTACTCACAACAGAAGCTTATCTAATTCCTATTCAAAGCCAAACCACCCCATATGTATCCTTAGTTCATTTGTCATCTCATTTGGATTAGGACACTCTTATAATTAATAACATGGATCAAACACCCCACTAGGCACTAACATAAACCAAATTTTAAATGAAAAGAGAGCATGGTCCATCTTAATGATTTCTCCTAAAAGTTTTTTTCTTATGTTTTCA